CCCCCCCCCACACACACACATACTTCACCCCCGGCCTTATCCTGGCTCGTCTATACGGCCCGCTCCAGGCGGCCAGGATCTCGGCAAATAAGCAGCCCGATTTACTTCTCTTTCATTCATACATTTCCCCGCATTTCCCAATCGGAGTGACAGGCGCATTGGGAAGAGCAAGACACTGAAATTTAATTTTAAACAAGAATGCCCCTCTTAATCCGTTGTCTTTTGTCTTCCGGCAGTATCAAGGTTCATCCCCAGTTCCAGTCTAGTGGCCGCCAGCCCAGGACAAATCTATGGAAAACTTCCGGGTAAAGAGAAACTGGGTACAGCAGGAGTTGGTTGTGGCAGGGGTTTAGGGGTCGGGGGAGAGAAGGCGGAGGGGGTAGATTAACCCCTACGGGGAAGTGGCACCGAGAGTCCCTCCAGGGGGCATATTTCATGGGTCGGTGTGGGCTTTACCGGGCCCCACAGGGGGTGGGGGGAGGGGGCAGGGGGCACCCCATGTGTTCGGTACATTACACCCACTTGCCGCGCTCGGGGCTCGACGGGCGACGGGGCGCTACAGAGGAGAGACCTCGATCTCTTAAGACGACTCGCAATATTTAATCCCAACAGTAAACTGTTCTTGAACCAATCATTGTTATTCCGAAGTGCATCAAAAGCTCGATCAGAAGCGATCCCACCTATCGCTTTGTAAAATAATCATCAGTAAATGTCAAGAACCACTGACGAAAAATAAAATTGGCAGAGGGAGAAGGTGACAAACAGAGCGTAGTGGACAGGTCCCCCGCCCACGTGCACACCTTTAATAGCGCACGTAGTTTTGTCTTGACAGCGCCAGGCAGGGCTTGCAATTACACGCACCAGCAGATGACAAGTAATATCCATTTGAGCAAAGTGGCGTTTGCTTTAATCTCCTACCCCAATCGGAATTGCCATCCTCTACAGGAGTGGCAGCTAGAGCACACATAACCACCCTCCTCACCACCCACTACCCTACCGCCCCCCCCCCCATCTCTCTCACTCGCTCTCTGAGCTGATTTCCATTCTCCGTCTTGTTACACCGCGTTGCCGTTGGAGGATAACCCTTCTCCAGCCGCCTCTCAGTCAGCGGGGCGGCGTGTTAGGTTTGGGGTATAGCGTCGCTGAGAGGCTCGGGACTGAAAAATTCAATACGCCGGTTTGTCACGATCTTGTCGCGATTAGAGGAGAGGAGGCTCACGCAATAAACTTGGCTGCGCCCCCCCTCCCTACTTTTCCTCCAACTCCTCGTCTGGTCCGCGCGAACAGCCAGCGAACAGTTGGCGGGGCAGCGAGAGATTAAAATAGCCTTAATTTTCTTGTTAAGATGCAATTAAGGGTCTCGGGCGCGGTGCCTACTAGTAGTACTTTGGAGAACGAGGGAAGGGGGAAAAAAGCAGAGCGGGCCTGGGGGGCGCCTGGGCGCACCCTCTGGGCGGGCACCCGGATTGTCCTTAATTACATTTCGATTGAAATTAAAAACGGTCTCCCCCGCGTGATTCACGCCCCACGGCCTGGACCTCGCCCCGCCCCGCCCCGCCCCGCCCCGCCCCGCCCCGCCCCGCACCCCGCACCGCCCTCGGGGGAGCGCGCCAAGGGGCGGACAGGTGTGACAGAGGGGTGCGGGTGGGGAGAGGGGGTAGGCGCCCCAGCCGGCCCCAGCCTTTTGCTCCGAGGACGACGGAAAGGGCCGCCAGCAGTAGTCTGGGGAGACGTTTTCTCCAGACCAAAGGGCAGACACAATCATACTGTTGACGTACCATACGGTCGTGGCGGTGCGCTGCACTCGGCGGGGCCTCGGCACAGCAGGCAGTGTTGCCAACAAGGTAGGCGAAACATTCCCACGCTGAAAAATATTATCAGAGCATCAACAAGCGTTTGAAGATGTTTAGATCGGAAAAACTGCAATCTATCCTACGGTTTACAATGAACCGTAACAGTTTTGAACTGTACTTTCTTACCGTAAACCGGAGGATGGAGTACAAAATTTTCCACAGTTTCAAAACCGTTATATTCCATATTTAACAGCTTCAAACTGGTGTTATTGCTGCAGTGCACGAATACACACCTGTGCACGCCTGCACGGAGAAAAATACTTTGGTTGCTGTAACTGAAATGGTGTTTAACCTCTTCCCTGAGTCATAATCATAAAACGTTCTATCGTGCTGACTGTAGTGTTTGGTTGGAGCGTCCAAACGCTCAGCCAGCACGATAGAACGTTCTATGGATATGACTCAGGGGGCAGATTGAACACCCTTTTAGTTACAGCAACCAAATTTTTCGGCCGTGGTGACCAAACATTTTTCTCAGTGTGTCCACTATTGGCGACTCTTCGATAGGTGAGTGCCCATAGCCTAGCAGACAGGCTCGGCGGATGCACGATAACGCATACAACGTGGAATTCACGGGACATTTTTTGTTGCCCACCTAATATAGTTGGCATGACTGAGGTGCCCGAGGCGTATAGCCCCTCAGCCGGGCGTTACCAGAGGCAGGCGCTGGCCATAGAGTCCTCGCAGGGCGCCCCGACCCCTGCTCCCAGCAGAAAGGATTAATCGTGGAAAGCGCGGCGGGGCGGGGCGGGGTGGGATGACGGATTCCGTCCTAAGCAATCCTTTGTCGAGCTCGCTCCTCTCTATCCCCCCAGCGGCGGCGGCGGTGCCAGAGTCTGCCCGCCCGGCCTGTAAATACCTCGCTCCCATTTCACGCTCCAGTCGCCGTTTGCATGAAATGACTCCCCAGCATCGGGCGTGGCGTGGCATGGCGTGGCGTGGCGTGGCGTGGCGTGGCGGGGCGTGGCGTGGCGGAGCGTGGCGGGGCGGGGGAACACTGAGCAGGGTGTTCACTGCAGCCCCAGTATAGCAACAAGCCCAGCAAATGTCTTCACAAAATTCACACATCTCCCGGGAAAGATTGTCGCATTTGTGCTGTTCACTTGATAGTCTGACAAATTGAGTCCTTTTCACAATGGTACAAAAAGGTCCAACTACTCATTGCCATTCAGAACCGAACATTACCATGTCGATGAAGGACACACATAGCTTCTTGCTCTTATACTGCATCATCGATCTCGGTTCACCAGAGTTTCGGGGATGGCCTGGGCCGACGCGTAGCTCGAGGGGAAGGCTTGACATATGGCCGGGCTGCAGCCGATGCTCGCGAAACAACAAAGTTTACTATTATTCTTCGGGGACGTTGACCGTCATACGCAACTCGTTGATAACGCCCGGAAGCCTATCCGGGCCGCATGGACAAGTTTCCCAGATTATGGCCACTCCCCCCGCTCCTTATCATATAGCAGCATTATGTAAAGTGCCCGTGAGCGCGCGGGGCGGCGTGGCGCGGCGCGAGGCGGCGCAGGGGACCGCCGGGGACGGCCAGGACCACCGCCCCGGTGCAGATGGGGTGGGTGCGGTCGAGGGCCTGTGCGTGGGGGGCAAGGTGAGGCAAGTTAACAGGCCCCCCGCGATGGCGCTCCACATGCCGGTACCCATGTTTTGACTTCAAATGTGATGATTCAGTCACATCCAGTCATTTTGTCCAATCAAATCCAGTCTCACTCAATCACATCTTACCTTTGACCTCGCCTTTGACTTAGTCAGTTGCGCTCATTCCCGCAGTGAGCAGTGACGCTCTACTCCTTGGATACCGATGGACGGAGTTGTTACGCTGTGTGTGGGAGAGGGAGAGGTTGATATGGCTGCGGGCACCCAGTGTGAGGGGTGGGTTAGAAGGGAAGGAGAGAGGGGGAGGGTGTTGGAGATGAAGAAGTAGATGGCAGGAGAGGGAAGGGGTTAGGTAAACGTGACGGGGGAGCGAACGAACCAGCACCTTTTCGGATCATCCGCCCCCCCCCCCCACACACACACTTTGCACGTTCACGTCTGTTTCTCTGTATAGTCAGTCTGTTGGCCTCAAGTCTAGAGGTCTGTGGCCGCGAACCGCGAATAAAGGTCATAAGGTCATGACGTTTTAGTCGAGGTTTTAGCTTAAAATAAAAATCCGTTTTTTGTTTTTTTGTTTTTTTGTTTTTTGTTTTTAAGGGAGGGCATTTTTCGTTTTGCAGAGCCGCTGCGCTTGGCTCTCTAGAGCTGGTATTTCGGAGACCAAGCATATGAGATTCTCTACCACTCCCGCCTTTTCCGTCGCTTTTCGGAGGTGCCACGAGATCCCCCTTTTAAAAAAAAGATCGCCTTGGTCTGATAGAGGCAGGCAGCTCCGGGTGGAGAACGTTGACGATCTCCCTCTAATCTGCGTGGCGGGGCACGGAGCCGCCTCGGTTCTCGCGGCCCCCACGGGCCCCTCGCTTCTAATATGTAGTAAATATGGGATTTGGGCGATGAAGCCCCACCGCATTGCCGCCTCTGGGCTAACGCCATCTACGGGTGCTTTATTTCCAAAGCAAATGGTAGGAGCGGCCACTTTCTTTGAACTTATTCCATTTCCTCGAGTCCTTATCAAATCAGTGAGATGCTCGACGATCCATTCCCTTTCCCATAGAAGAGCCGCCCGCCCCCACGCCGCCCCCCGCGCGGGCGCAGGTGGGACGCGCAGGGGCGCAGGGGCGAGGCCCGCGCCCTCCGCCTGCTCCGCCGGACCGGGGCCGCGCTGGCCCGGTGCCAACTCACAAAGTTTGCACACTCTGGACTGGCAATGGCCGTCATTTATTCGATTCAGTCATGCCTCCTCTCGCTGCTGGGCCCCGGGGGTCCACTAGTCCTGCAGGCAGGGCAAGGCGGGGGCGGGCTTTCCCGACGATCTCGACCCTCGCCTCGCCGTGGCGCTCGGCGTGCCCCGCCTCGAGTGCAGCACTGTGCCTCAGTGCCTTTGCGGTCTGGTATAGGCCCCTGCACTGCTTTTGTTCTTACCCCGGAAATGCAAAGTGTGCAAACGTCGCTTAACTGCAGGAGAGTGAACTAATTCACAAGTTTACAAATGTCGCTCAACTGCAGGAGAGTGAAAAAAATACACACACCTGCCGATGTGTGAGACAAAATATTCAAACACTTGTAGTTGAGCCAAAGTAGAATAGTACACGTAAAAAGAAGAGGGACGGAGTGGGGGTTACAATTCCTTCTGGTAAAGACAGTCTTGGGGGCTGCCTAAAAATGGAGCCTTACCTGCAAGGTGTGTGAATTTTTTCTCTTTTACCTGCAAGTCTGCGACTCTTGGATACTTGCCTGCAGGTCGCGACATTGGTACAGTTTGCATTTCCAGTTAATGTAAGCGTGCACGTGTACACCCGGGAAATCCGGAGTTTTCGTTGGTGGAGGAGCCGTTGGTCTGCAAACACCTGCGCAGCCCCGTCAGGCGTTAGGCGGCAAGGCGGCTGTGCCGGGCCATGGCAAAGGGATGCAGAGGTGCGGGAGGGAATGCTAAATAAGGGCTCCCCGATGTACGGCCAGCTTCAGGGAATGTCAAAGAGCGAAAACGCATTTCCCCCGGTCCGGTGCCGGGGTGGCGCCGGTGGCGCTGCCTCCGCTGGAGTGGCGGGCGGGGCGGGG